CCAGCTCCAGGTTGAGCTGTTGTTCACCATCTTAGCTGTGGAGGGCAGTGTCACTGGCCCTCATATGTGGGATCCGAACCAGGGCCCTCTGGCATGCCAAGACAGTTCTTAACCAATGTGCCACTCAGCCAGCCCAGAATTTTTTTCTTTTTGGCTAAATAGAGATTTTATTTGCTTGCTGGGATTTCACGTATACTTGCTCTTTCCAAAGTGTGTGTGTGTTTTAAACTACATGATGAAATTATTTCTTTTAAAGTTATGGTATGAATGGGATGTTATGATTTTTATTTCCATAAAGAGTCTAGGAATGATTTCTTAATGACACAATTTAATCTATATATTATAAATTGCTTCTAGCTTCTAATAATATGTTTATTTCATTTACTAACATTGCAGGGTAAAACACATGAATTAGGAAGAAACAGAGCTGGCATATTATAAAAGCAAATGCCAAGTGCCAAGTACTCTGGGGCATAGAGATATAATGAAGTAAATAGAAACAGCACCAGAATTTTTTCTTTATTGTAATATTACAAAGTATAATAAAGTCTAAACATGCAGCATAAAGAAAACTAAAATGACATTATTTGACTCCTAATTAATTATGTTGATGACTTGTTATGAACAAATGAATAGTGAGTAGGACATATGAATGCCTAAATAAGTTGATATGTATTCAAAGAACTTTAATGATATCCACCCAGGGTGCAATGACTACAGAGATGCCAGGAAAGGGGATGGCTGTCTGAAGAGTGAGATTTTATTTGCTGCTTATTTTGAGAACCGTGAGTTGGACCTCTTGTGAAATATTCTCTTCTGATTTCTCCACCTATAAATAGCTTGCTTTGGGTCTGATAGCTTCTAATCAGTGAATAATGATTGCTGACTGGACCTCAGTTATCAGCAGCAACAACAGTAGCATTTATGGGCATTCAATCCTCATAACTACCCAGTGAAGTAAGGATTATAATTACCTTCATTTTACCCACACGCAAACTAACTCTCAAGAGATTTTAGGTCACTGGCTAGAGACCATCAAACAATGCAAATATAACTAATATTGACTGTGCTTCTGCTATGTTCTGGGCACTGTGCTGGTCTTAAGGACCAAATAGAATAGAAGACAGTCTATGTCTCAATTCCTGTATAGTCTTCTAGAGGAAACAGATCAAGTCCCAGGTAACTACGATACAGAGGGTATGAGCTAACGTATGCAATACTGCACTGGGGTACCGTGAGATACAGGACACATTCACAGGGTGTGAGGAGAGACTTCTGCAGGAAGAAAGCAACAGAGCACGGCAAAAGAATTTTCTTTCTTGTGTGTACCTTGCTAGTGAAAGTAGACTGTCTATTCTTTTAGCTCTACAAGGTTTTCGTTCTTTGTAATCATATTATAGCTTACCATGATAGCACATGGGAAACTCTTCCTCTTTTTTGCATATGTAATGCCAGAATAGACCTTACATTTATTTTCAGGGCTATGTTTAGGAGGGTGCTTATCTATTGTGCCAAAGAAAACATATACTTGAGAAAAACATTGAATGATTTTTCTAGATGCATGAAATCTGCCAGTTGTTTATAAATTCAGGTTACTATTTATAAACTCTCAATTTTAATATGTTTTAGCTGTTGAAAAGTGTTCTGTCATTGTGAAATGTTTTTACATTTAGAAGTTCAGCATTACATGTACTCTCCAGCCACGTGGATGATTACATAAATTTATAGCATCAGCAGAGCCATCTGCAGACGTGACTAGATTTAAGAATAAAATGCATGGTCAGTTGTGGATGCTCTGAGCAGTGAGAGTAGAGTACCAGGATACTGTATGCTCAGCATCTCTTTTCTAGAAATTGCCTCTCCCTTCTAAATTCACATGGTTGTCATAGATATCACCGTGTTTCTAAATGTGACCATTGATTACTTCAGAGTGGGGAGAAGATCCAAGCTGGACTATCCCATTATTTGGCTCATCGTTTAGGATTGGCTAGTCAAGAGTCTATTCTGTTTCCATCCCAACTGGGTGGACTGCAATTTGGGCATTAACCACCTGGAGTTAGTAACAGACTCCACAAATTAAGGGCTCAGTGCCCCAAGATAGCCCTCACCTTAGACACCAGCTGCAAATTGGGTCCCCAGCTCACCCACACTTCTGACTGACCTGTTATAAATTTGGAGTTTTCTATGGTCCTGTCAGTTTCCATAATTTGATAGAACTCACAGAATTCAAGGAAGTGCTATATTCACAATGACAGTTTTATTATAAAGGACACAACTCAGGAACAGCCAAATGAAAAGTTGCATACGGCAAGGTGTGTGAGGGTCTCAACTACAAAGCTTCCATGCTTTCTCCCCATGGAGTCAGGGTGCCTCACTCTCTTGCATTTCAGTGCTCACCAACCACGAAGGGCCTTAGTGTCCAGAGTTTTTGTTGGGGTTTCACTAAGTGGGCATGATTAATTCATTCACTGGCCATGATATTGCATTCACTCTCCAGCACCCATCTCCTTCCTGGAGGTCCCACTGCTAAAAGTTTCAACTCTCTAGTCACAAGCCTGGTCTTTCTGGTGACCAGCCTCCATCCTGAAGCTATCTAGGCACCCACCATGAGTCACTTCATTAACATAACAAAGACATTCATCATTCAGGAAATTCCAATGGTTTTTGAAGCTCTGTGCCAGGAACCAGGGACAAAGACCAGAAATATTCTCTAGTATATCAGAGAGTTCATCTTTGTTCATTCTGTTACTGGAACTGAGTAAGAGAATTAAATCTCTTTAGATGCCTGTACTGTGATGTGTGAAGCGTTGGGGCTTTTGTCTGCCTTGTTTTCTACCAGAATGAGAGAGGCCTACTGTACTGTGTAGAGAGAAAAAGAGAAATGAAGCAGATGCTCAGAGAGAAGAGATTTGAGTCCCTTTTCCAACTTTTTCCTATCTTTGGTTTCTGTGAGATTTCCCACTGTCATCAAATATCCTTTCCCTCTTCTGACTTCATCCCTCTTCGGCTGACTTTCTCCAACTTCTAACTGAGCATCTCTGGTAGAGTGAGCAAGAAAACATTTGTATAGGTACAGAAGTGTTGTGTATACTTAAATAACATTAAGCGAGGGGTAGGATTTATATCTCCTTACCACATATTGCATAGAAGGTCATTTGCTAATTTGTACAAATGCTAATCTTGTTACTCATCAGAATGAGTTGGTGTCAGTGTTGGGGGAACGCTGTCCCCCCATTGTCTGGTGCTTCCTTCCACACTCTGACACAGGTCTCTGGCAGTAGGAACAATTCTCCCTTTATAAGGTACTACTATAATAGCTACAGAATTGACACCAGCACCCTAATGCTCAGTTTTGTGCTTACTGACCTAGAATTTGCTGAAATGGGAATGTGTAAAAGACACATATAGTGAGTGAGAGCAGAGTAGCTAGAACCCAGGAGGCCAGATATTTTACACTTCACTACACTACAACGTCAAAATGAAAAAAGAAAAGCAATCATCTTCTTGTAAAGTTTTTTCTGGTCATAGTTTGAGTAACAATAGCAATAGTCTATTTAAATTTAGGTTTTAAAATTGAAACGTTTTAGCAAATTTAATATTAAACTTATTTCCAACAGCGTTTTTGAGAGTGCTTTAAAAGTTAACACTTTTTGTGGTTTTTCATTTAAAAGTGGATATTATCCCCAAAACCTTTCCTTAGGATATAATTCTGATTCAAGATTTCTCACCAGTATATGGTAACTTAAATGCTATACATTATACTCTTAAAATTCAAATGCATTGAAAACAAGTAAAAATGATAAACAGGTTAAGTCTTTCTGGATAAATTTATTCTTGTAAAACCCTAGTAAGATCAAATCAATGAAACAGATAGGTTTTTCTATCTTGTCTCAGTGTGTGCCTGTGTGTACTTGTGTTTTCTATGGCAATGCAGACGTAGCAAAACAAACTCTTTCCATTAGTGAAACAAGCCCCTTTATTTGTAAAACAAATTCAATTAGATCAATAATAAGTAGAGGATCCATTTGAGTTTGACCTAAATTTTCTGAATGTTAAGAGAACAAACCATTATATAGAAAATATGATTAAGTTCCCAGTTCTCTCACTCACAATTTGAGACATTTGTAATTTTAGTGACTGTGATTACCTGTCTCAGTGTAAACTCTTAGGAAAAAACCAATAGTCCTAACATCTCAATACTGGCAACATCTTTGATCCTCTATTTATTTCTCTTTTGCAAATGATAATAATTTGTGTCTGGTGATTTGGAAAGCTGTTTTTTATGACTCATCTCCCAAAGGGCTATAATTTCCCATTAAATTGCTGTCCACACTAGTACCACAAAACAACTCCTCCCTTCTATCATGATTTTTTCTTGACTATTCCTCTTATAAGTCTTTTTAAAAAAAATTTGAAGCTGTGTCTTACTTGAGATTCTTTATTTTTAATTTTTTTCAGGGGAGGCTATAGGTAAGTGAATAGGAGAATTTATCCTCAAATGAATTTATATTTTACTTAGTTCCAAGAAAGGAAACAAGGGTATCAATAGGGATTGGGGACAATTTCATGATTGACATATCATCAGCTTTCTTGCTGTTAGTGATAGGAGGATCATACAAGTGACAAAATAGGCTCAATACATGGCATCAAAAACTACTTCCAGTGCTCACAGTTCAAGGTACCTTTCGTGGCACCATCATTTTCCACACAAGCCTCTTCTAAAGGCACTATGGCTGTCCCTGTTGGATACTACTGCAGTGGTAGACACTGGATACATAGAGTTCTCCATGATCAAGTTTGCTTTGTTCCGCAACTCTTGAGCTCTATTCAGAATCCTTCCTCTCCTATAAAGGCCAAGCTTTTCTTATGAGATCTGTAAGGAATAACTGACAGGTTGAAGTCTTTCCCAGGAGTCCCCTTCATCCCTCATGTAAAGAGACTAATATTTCTTAGATTAATGATTTTGACATCAAAGACCAAATGATGAAGGACCACTATATTAAAGCTGTAGTTATGTGATATATGAATTGAATGAATAACTATAAAGTCTTACTTACTCTCGGCCACCACTGACCTGTCATAAGTACAGACAAATGTACTTATGTTCTAATTCCTGGATCTTATGGTAGTCATAAATTAATGAGGTATATGTAACAACTGTACATAGAGTCTGAATATCATTTTGCAATGTTAAATAATTCATATTATATATTTAAAATATAATATATATTGTTATATATAATCCATAAACATATACAGAGGGTGCCAAAAATCTATACACATTTTAAGAAAGGAAAACTGTATTAAAACTGTAATACTCAATACATTCCCATAACAAAAGATGAATACAAGTCACGTTTGACTTCTGCAATTACAAGAGGTGCTCAAAGTGGTTACCATCAGTGTCCAGACATTTCTGATTACAGTGGACTACTGCTTGGGCAATGTTGACTGAAGTGTCCATTTGTATACATTTTTTTGGTATACATTTTATACCCTCTGTATATATGAAACATGTGAAACATGACATTGAATCTCTTTTTCTAGTTTTATTAAGGTATAATTGACAAAACTGTATGTATTTAAAGTGTACAGTGTCATTAGTTGATATACGTATATGTTATGAAATTTTTACCACAACCAAGCTAATTAACACATCCATTGCCCCACAGTTATTTTATTAAATAATTAACTAATTAATTAATTAATGAGAATGCTTAAGCATTACTCTCTTAACAACTTCTATGTAGATAACACAGTGTTAGTAACTATAGTCACTGTGCTGTACATTAGATCCTTGGAACTTATTCATTTCATAACTGAAGTACGTACCCTTTGACCAACATCTACTCATTTGTTCCAGCCCCTGGCAACCCTCACTCTACTCTCTGTTTCTAAGAGTTTGACTTTTTCTTTTGATTCCACATATAAGTGAGATCATGCAGTATTTGTTTTCCTCATGACATTGAATCTTTACAATGGCAGCTAGATGGACATTGAACATTTTGATTATGAATGGTTTTATTTTTAAGAAATATTTGATATGATGCAATTATATTTTCAAAAATTAAACTAAAAATCAGTTTTATTTAAATTGTGATTTCAATTTTGATATTAATTTGAGGAAAAATAAGAAATGTGAAAAATAGTTTTAAATATTTACACTTGGAGATATTTTA